GCATTGTAGCAGTGCGCCACCGGGCCGGCCCTAATATTTGTTTTGTAATGTGATGGATTTCTTAAAATGAATTCCTTCTAGTGGATACATTGGGTCAAAAGGTATGTACATTAAAAATGTTGATATCTCACAGATGGTGTCTTCCGTATTATCTGGTACCATCCTTTGTCTACTAGATGAACAAATGGAGACCCCCAAGAAGTTAAGTGAACTTCTATCTCCATAGGGAATAGGTAGGACTTATTTATACATCCATGAAGGCTTTTATGTACCATGGTGGATAAGGCATTTGGGGTCTATCTGAGACTCATGTAATTTGGGGAACACCCTGGCTGGGGTAGGCAAGGCGGAACGGACACACAGTCGAGACAAACAGCTGTTCCATTCCTCTCAGCAGAGGTGTGGAGGCCTGACCAAGATCTGAATCCCGCCCTATCAAGTAATAGCTGTGGGATCTTGAGAAAGTCTCTGTTCCCTGACTTTTGACTTTCTCATCACTAAATGGGAATGTTGAGTAAAGAGTTAACAAAACAGACTGGCCAGTTATTCAGTTGGTTAGAACATGGCATTGATAACACCAAGATCCAGGGTTTGATCCCTGTACTGGCCGGCTGCCAAAAAGGAACAAAAGAGTTAACAAAAAACACTTCTCTACAGACAAAAATTTCCTGGCCCCTTTTACCCTAGAAACCTGAGAAGGTGGAATGTCAGCTGTACCACTAGGCAACATTGCCTATAGTGCAAATGATACCTGATNGAAGGTGGAATGTCAGCTGTACCACTAGGCAACATTGCCTATAGTGCAAATGATACCTGATGGGTAAATTGTGTCTAGACAGGAAAGGCTATGTATGAACTATAAATAATTAGTGGAAAACCACAGTCTTTGGGCTGCCCTGAGTGCAGTGAATCTTGTAGTGGGCACAGCCCTGGCTGGGATCCCAGAAGCTTTGTCTATGGGGCTGTTACAAGGTTTGGGACACGTGACTTCGAAGCCATGGGGTTCTCACCCATCATGGTCTTGTTTTCCTGCACCTGGGCAGTCACCTGGGTGGGCCAGAGACCAGCTCTGGACCGCTGTGTGGTCTCCTATGAGAACTTTCACTGATGGGAAATGCCTGAGGCTGCCCCACTGACACAGCGTTTCCTGTCCCTGCTTCCTTCTTAGTGAGGCCAGTGCCACCATTTGGGTCTTGTGAGTCTGTTGGGTTGAGCCAAAGAAGACCCCCAGAGGGGGCGCTGCAGGAGGTGATAACGACATCTACCCCTGGGGTTGTGAGGCTTGAATGAAATAATATAAAATGAGCTTCTGGCAGAGGACGTGACAGTGTCAGCCCCCTTTTCTCCATCCCAGAATAAAATACCTGTTTTTGGGCTCTTCCTCTCGTTTTTTCCTTGGTGGAGAAAGGCCTTCTTCTGACTTCCAATATGAACAGTCAAGTCCTTTTTCCTTCTTCTTTGCTTTTTCTCTTTCCTCTCCTTTTTCTCCTCTGGGCGGTCCAGGGGAGTCTGGAAACAAAAGTGTGTCACTGACTCTCTCAACTCAGCTCTGTCTCAGCAGAACCCAGCATGACCTTTGGGAGGAAGGAGCAAAGGGCTTGACTTGGACCGCTGCACACACCCCTGAAATATGCACACACAAAAATATACATTTACACACAAATGCACATACAGCATGGCACATG